ACTATTATTATGGATTAAAATCCTCCATTTAAAGCACCTGAAACAAATTAAAATATTCATTCTCCCAGTTTTGGGGAAATTATTTGCCACTATAATATTCCTTTAAAATCCTAAATGGGATAATTAGTGAGTTAATCAATTGTAATTGATTGGGAAAAGTATAATCTCATTTAATTATTTCCCAAAATGTATAGAATTTTCATTTTGATTCAGATGTTCTCTTCAACTCTGGCTTTGGTGGTAGGAACAAATTAAGATGGCTGTTACTTTGATCTACAGTAAATATTTGAAACTGTAGCATACACTCTGAGTAGGATTATACTTCATTTTTAGTAGGTTGTAGAGTAGATGCATATCTTTACAGAGGGGATAACAATGGCAACATTGTCCTGTGTCACAAATTTTGAAATTAGTGTGGCAACATGACTGGTTTCAGAAGGCAGGCAATGAGGACACATATTTTTCAACAGAACATAACAACGTTAGTAGCTGGGAAGAAGAAAAGTATTTCATGCTTACACTCCCCACAAATTCTATTGACAAACTGAGGGATAAAATTGAAAGAAAGCAAATCTATCTCTTAGAACTGCTATAGGTGTCATTTTTTTGAAAATAATTTAAGACAAAGTCTCACAACCTTCCCTTCTCCTTTCTACCTCAATTAACCTTAAATTATTGGCCTATACTAAAATTCAGGGTTCCTGTACAAATACAATCCTATATAACATAATTTATATTTATATAATGCAAATATAATGTATTCATTGCATTTAGAATCCACCTGTTCTCTAAAATTCAAAACAACTATGTGGAACTGCCATAATTTTATCCTTGCAATCACAGTACTATGAAATCAGTTGTACTTAAGAAAAAATGACTCACTTTGCTCCGGGACTGAAAGGGGATGTGGGGCTTGGAAATGGTTGGCCCTGATCCAGGTCCAATTGTAATAACTACAGTACAGAACGCAAATATCACTATTAGGACTGGCTTTACCATTAGGCAAAGTGAGTCAGTTGGCTGGTTGTAGAGGAGAGGTTCCTAAACATTTGCTATCACAACTCGTTTAATGTACACACGTATCCTAAAAATCCAAACATCAAAATGAACAACGGAAACAATGTAATGAAACTCTAGGATTTAGTTTAGTAATGTAACTAAAAGCTTCTTTAATCTCCCCTGGACTCGGTCTGCATCTCCACAAGGGAGGTACACCTCACCGTTTTGGAAACCCTGATATAGAGAGTCGGGGAGATGCCCTTGAGGGAAAGAGGCAAGAATTGTTCTGTAAGAAGGAGGGCTGAAACTTTCTTCAAGTCCTGAAAAGCAAGATGATATTTGGAAGAGACTCATATAGGGTCCTCCTGATTCAGTGGGATGTAAGAGGGAAGGGAGGTAAAGCACACTCAAGTTTGTAAGATTCTGTTACTATAGCCTATCTCAATAAAGATTGTAGCTTAATCTTTCTCTGGAGTTTATTTCCTTTAAAAAAAACTAATTAAAGATTATAATTGCAATAGTTAAAACTATCATAAACTGAAAAAAAAGAGTAAAAATGCAAAGGAAAAGAAAAAATGTAGAGGAAAGGAGGGAGGGAGGGAGGGAGGGAAGGAAGGAAGGAAGGAAGAGAGGGAGGGAGGGAGGAAGAAAGGAAAGAAGGAAGGAAGGAAGGAAGGAAGGAAGGAAGGAAGGAAGGAAGGAAGGAAAAGGATACAATTACTTCTAATCTTCATCTCAACAATTTTTCACCTCCTCTTAATTTTCAACCAATGATCTCTTCATTCCATGTCCTAGCTCTTATTTATAAATAAATTCATAAAGCATTGTCATTTCAGTCCTGGTGTCAGCAAAGGTTCATTAAGGATTTCCAGAAATATAATCTATCTATCTATCTATCTATTTATCTATCTATCTATCTATCTATCCATCATCTATCTATCTATCTATCTATCTATCTATCTATTTATCTACCTACCTGTCTGTCTGTCTGTCTGTCTATCTATTTTAGTCTTCATTAAATAAGCCAACTTTATATTTCTTCCTTTCCTCTAATAATCTTAATCTTTAGATCATTCAAGTAACGTTGATTTCAATTTTTTTATTCCTTCTCACAAGATTCATCCAAGCTTTAACAAACCTCATTTGTAAATCCAATATAAAAGAATTATCCAAGTCAGTATCTTCTTTTGTTTTTTTTTTAAGTCATCAATCTGAAGTTGGTTTCCTGGTATGGTCTATCTCACAGGACTGACATCAGGGCAGCAGATGTTGGGAGTAATGGAAGCAACATTGTGGTAATTACCTTTGGTATCTATGAAGAATCAATCCACACACCCCCCAATCCTTGTAAAAGAACCCTTGAAGTGTTGGAAGACTGTTGTCAACACTCCCCTCAGCCTTTTCTTCTTTAGGCTATCTGCACCCTGTTCCTTCCATTGTTCTTCATTGGATTTAATCTCCAAGCCTCTTACCATCTTTCTCACTCTTCTCTGCACTCTTTTTAATTCTTCTGTGTCCCCTTGGTCAGGTAGGCCTCAACTTATGACTGTTCATTTAATATTAGTCCAGAATTACAGCAGTCATAGAAGGAATGCTTTATAGCCTATAAAGCACTTCTTGCTATCACAAAATAAGGTATCACCACCCCATAATCACATGATCATGATCTGGGTGCTTGGCAATCTGTTCACGCTTATGACTGCTTGCCAGAGTACCTCGCAATCATATGATCACCATTTGCAATTTTTTCTGCTGGTTTCCAGAAAGTCATTGTAGAAGCTGGCAGGGAAGATTGCGATTCCCTCCCAGCAGGGAGCTCTTTGAGAGCAGAATGGCTGTTCGCTAAGAAAGAATCTCAACTGAGAAGGAATCTCCAGCTTTGTGTGGAGCTGTGATTCTGCCACCCCAGAAGGTAGCCCTTCAAGAACAAAAGGACTGCTTGATGAGGGCAGAGGAACTCCTCCAGCAGAACACAAAATGCAGAAATGAAAGTCAAATACCAAGTGATAAATATACATCAATATGATAAATCTTCAGAGACAATACAATGGAAACTAATTGAATAAGAAAAATACAGATGGTGAGAGTCAGGAAGAGATTAAGGAAGTAAGATAAACCATAGAGGCAAAAATAGCTGGGTCTGAGAAAGGAAGAAGAGAAGCTATAAAAATATATAGGAAATGGCTAGCCAGGAAGGTTGAATGGAGAACAGGAAAATAAGCTGAATAAGATAAGAAGAGAGGCACATTGAATTGAAAAGCAGGAAAAGAACTTATTGTTTAAAATGGGGACATAAATATATCTGAGTTTAAAATAACCATTTCCATGTCTAATTTTTCTTATTCTTATTATATATGTGAATATGATTTAGTATGTTATCAGGAAATGTGTATAGGCGGACGGAAAGAGTGTAACCTCATACTACCTCAGCCAATGGGGAAAGAGGAGGGCTGTAGCGGCCAGTGATAGGGATGAATAAAAGAAGGAGATATTTTGGGTTAAAACTTTGGAGAGAACCAAGCTTTGATAGCTTCTCTCCCTGCTTATTGCAATAAACGAAACAAAAGGCCTTCACTGTGTCTTGGCTGGTTATTGGTCAGGCGAGCTTGCCTCTGGTCATGAAGGAAAGTAGCCAGGAGCACATAACACCAAGGATCTGAGTTCTGTTCCTGCAGCCCGCCAGAGGAGTTCCCCTCCACACATGGAGTAGAGCTGAACTCAACAGGCAGCCCTTTTGCTCCAACCACTTAATGACCTGGGAGATCGCTTAATGACTGCAACTGGAAATGCCAGGATTGCGGTTGTTGTTGAACAAAGCAGCCACATAGATGTCTTGCTTAGCAACCACTTTGCGCAACAACCAAGATTCCAGTCCCAATTGTAATGATATGTCAAGGACTATAGCCCCTGTATTGTGGTGATCAGAATCAGATACAACAATGGCTGGTATGGTCTGACCAGTGCAGCATAGAATGAAACTATTAGTTCCCATGATTGGAACACTGTACCTATGCTGATGTACTTCAACATTGCATTACCTCTTTGGGAACTGAAACATACCATTAGCTAAGACTTAATCTGTTGTGAGCAAGACACCCAAACCTTTCTCACAAATATTTATTTTATGTATTTAAAACATTTATATCATCAGTCCCCAGACTTTGCAGCTTGGTGGTCTGGAAGGGGGAGGAGAGGGGAACTGGACTTCACAAGCAGTGGGCTGGCGCGTCCACACCCATAGCTCAACTTGAGCTGCTTGCATGCGTCCACACCAGAAAGCTGCTCACGGGGTCCAGTTCCTAATAGGCTGTGGCCCAGTAATGGGCCACAGCCCAGGGCTTGGGACCCCTGATTTATATAGCCACCCATCTTTCAACCAACTCTGGCCAGCTCCTAATCAAAAGTAGTATTGTTGAGCCAGACACAGGCTTGTAATTGGGCATCTGGGTTTTCCACCTAAGTGCAGAACCTGACATAGTTCATAATTGAACTGCATTTATTGGAAAAAATAGAAGTAGTCCAATAAAGAATCTTTATTAATTCATCATTTTTTCTGATAAGACATATCTTGTCTAGACAAGGCTAACAAAAAAAAGCACAGAAAATCAAAGTGCATTAATATCTGCCAGTTTTTCAAATTTGAAATACCTACACACAAATGACAAATTCCCTGGGAAGAAAAGGAGAGAAACTTTCTCCCCACCATTACCACCAACAAATGGCAGCAATAACTATTCAATCTAGAGAGCTCATGCTAGACCACAAATATCCCTGGTTACCCAACAGATATATGGCTCAGCAGGGCTTTGATATTGATTAAGTGGGAGACTCAGCAGTGCTGAATGAATGTCCCCCTCCCCCATCTCTTCACAGGACATATACCATATTTTCTTCAAACTGGGATTTGTATTTTTTTAAAAAAAAACACCTGCATTAATCTAATTATAATTGCACAGGCAAAATTATTTTTATTCAGATGAACAAGCATACAGAGTGTACAATATAAAAATGACAGATAGAGGTAAAAGGGGAAAAATCAACATTTTTGCTACTTCAACTTCTCTAATGTTTTTGTTTAGTAAAGCTCGAATGAAAATGGTGGTTTCATCTACCAAAATGCATGCTAGATTTTCATTTTGGACAGATGAGCTGTGGGAAAAACAGATTTTGTGTCCCATTTACAAAACATTCCATAGAAACAAACTGGCAGACTTAGTTCGAAAAGGCAATATCCTGTTCTTAGACAATACTATTTCAGATGTTCAGAATGTGATATATTTTATTCAGATTCTGTCGATGAAGGACACCCTGGGTTAACTCTATCTGTCTGGCTTCCTTACTAGTTTTTTTTTTTTAATGAAACAGATATTATATTAAAATAAGAAAAGTGATAACAATTATAGGAAAGAGAAATGTATGTTCAGACAAATAAACAGAGCTTTTTTAAAACGACGTTAATAGCATTCTCAAATCAAAGCAAAGAGTGATCTCTACAGTTTTTGAGGTATCACCATGGAAGACGCCAGGTTGCCCAGCCAGAGAATATATTCAGTCACCTTTTCTTCTGGCAGGGAAGTTTATTACAAGGTAGTTGAAGTGTTACCAGAGGAAGTTGAAAAGCTGGATCCCTTCCTATATCGAATCAGGATCTCTTTGCTGATGATACCTTGTGAGACCAAGATCTTGAGGAAGTTGTTGCGGAACTTCTGTCCTATAAAGGCGTATATGATGGGGTTGATACAGCTGTGAGCAACTCCCAAAATCTCAGTAACTAACAGAGCATTGTCAATACTTTCTTGAACTAAGCAGGTCTCGGTAATGACTCCAATCCTCAGCAAAGTATCAAAAAGCAGGGCGATGTTGTAGGGTAGCCAACAGATCACAAAGACCAGCACTACAGCCAAGATTACTTTCATTGCCTTCTTCTTTTGCTTGTTCTTCATTTGGTAGAGTCTGTGCACTGTTATTCCGTAGCAAATCATCATGATTGTCAAGGGGAGGAGGAATCCAAACACCTGTGGTAAAATTCTCAATACTATCCTCCATTTAGTTGTTTGATTGTCACCAATGTTCTCATAACAAACCCTGTTAGAGGAATTTGAGACTTTAAAAACTTCCCGGAAACGGATCACAGGGAGTGAGAAGAAGAAGGCGAATAGCCAGATGCCGATGCAGACAAATTTGACCCAGTGCCTCTTCTGAGTGGCTGCCCTAGTAGCATAGACGATTGCCAAATAACGATCAAAACTGATAAAGGCCAATAAGAGGACACCACTGTAGAAGTTGACTTCTTTCAGAACCGAGGTGATTTTGCACATGAAAGTGCCAAAGATCCATTCATGAGCTCGATACACAGCCCAGATGGGCAAGGTGACTGCAAAGAGAAGGTCGGCAATAGCCAGGTTCAGGATATAAACATCAGTAACAGAACGGTTTTCTTTGCTGTAGCTCACCACCAGAATCACCAAGGAGTTGCCCAGGAGGCTCAAAATGCAAACCAATGTATAGATAACTGGTACAATATATTTTACTGTAACTGTTTTATCTCGTAAATTGCAAACTTCTGTAAGTGCACCTAGGAAATCTAAACTATCATTTGCGTATTCACTATAGTTATCTAGGATGCCTGAAAACATCAAATCCTCCTGATCGCCTTGGATGTCTTCCATCTTGGATAACTTGCTGTAGGCCTGTGTAGAACATGAAGCAAAGATAAGTCAATAACTTTTTTCTAAGCAAAAGGCAACATCCTAATCATAAAGTGATTATTTAGGGCTCCTACCAGAGTTCATAATTGTTCAAAAGAAAGTTAAGCTAATAGACTTTGAGCATGGGCACTGGGTATACAGAGTTCCATACAGTTGCTAAATTCCAGAACGCTTATCTCGTGAAGCAAGCCCTGCCTCCCTGTTAATGATGCCTAGTCACTGTAGATTCCTTGCAGCTTCTAGGCATCTAGCCTAAATATGTGCAGAAGGAATGCACATGTGTGGATGATGACGTCTACATGACCAAGATCCAGTGGAACACACAGATGACTATAGGAGCCCAAGTTCATTTATAGCATCATAAATGGAGGCAGAAGAGAAGCACTGCAGTTTTTCCAGGTTTTATTCTATCCTCGTATAGTCAAAGTAAAAGATCACTCTAAAACATAAAGGTAGCTGACTTCTGAACAGATGTATGGAGAAGCTGACCAAGAATGGGGATTGAAGTAGGTTCCTTCCAATAGAAAAATATGTACAACCTCTGCAGAAACTCAAACTTGCAAATGAAAAAAAAAACCCCTTATTTTCCCCCATCCAACTCCAATTTTGTATACCTTGTGGTTGAGTTAAAAATAAATTTGCTCAGCAGCTAAACAAACAAAACAACATGGGATCCCATAGATCTGGGATTGATTTTAGAGTGGTGCAAGGACCTCACCAGAAAATGGCCAAAATTATCGATATCCAAAAATAGATGCTTTTAACATTAAGGTATTCTTCATTTCAATCTGACAGATATTGGGGATTTTTAATGACATGTAAAAATTGATCAGAGACACTGCCTACAGAAGGACCGTCAATTTTGCCCTTGTTGGTTCTGACATATAAAGAATATAACAATTACAAAGCATAGTTGTTAGTTTGTGTATGTGTTTTTTTCCCCTCTCATTTCCTCTGTCTATGAAGTTTTCATTATATTCATTATATAATAATAGATTCATAGAGGAAGAATACATGGGGGTACGCAACAGGTGCTGCATTGATCAGGAAAAGGACTTAGGGCAGTGGTTCTCAACCTTTTTAATGCCACGACCCCCAACCAGTCGTAAGTCGAGGACTAAACCGGTCGTAAGTTGAGGACTAAACTGGTCGTAAGTCGAGGACTACCCAACCGATTGTAAGTCGAGGACTTTCCCTGCCCGGGAGCGCCACGCATGCGTGGTGCTGCCCCCTGTGCCGGCCGAGGCGTAGTTGGCAAGCGGCAGAGACGGAGCAGGCCGACCACCGGCTGGGCCACCAGCTGGCCCAGCCCAAGGGAGATAAGGCACCCGTCGGAAAAGGGAAAAAAATGGTGGACAGCCTTGCTTGGCGACCACCGTGAAATGGTCGATTGACCCCAAATGGGGTCGCGACCCATAGGTTGAGAACCGCTGACTTAGGGAATAGAAAGGGTCAGAGTGGCTATGTGGGCAACATGCACAAGAGGGGTTGTGTGGATTGGGGAAAGCAGGAGAAGTAGAACTGAGAAAAATACATGAGAGGTAGCACACGGGTTATCTAGCCTTCTCCAACCAGATATTGGAGCCAGACAATATGACCAATCACTATAAATCATAGGATTTAATAGATCAAGGCTCTTAAGTTCAACATAAACATGCACACAGGTAGTCTTCAACTTACAATCACAATGGAGCCCTAATTTTTGTTGCTAAGCAACACAGTCATTAAATCATTTATGCCCATTTTGTGACTTTTCTTGCCACTGTTGCTAAGAGAATTGCTCCATTTGTTAAGTTAGTAACATGGTTGTTAAGTGAAACTGGCTACCAAATTGACGTTGCTTATTGGGAGGTCACAAAAAGGTGATCACTTGATCCCGGGACACTGTAAACCATCATAAATATGAGTCAGTTGCCAAGAGTCTGAATTTTGTTCACAGTTTGTGAAAAACAGCCATAAGTCACTTTTTTCAGTGCCTTTGTAACTTTGAATGGTCACTGAATGACTTGTTGTAAGTCAAGAATTACCTTTATTTTCTGCCCTGCTCATTACAAGTCCAGTAGCTTTCCTGTCTCCTTTTCCATGAAAAGATACCCCTGCTGCTGCTTCAATTACTCTATTGGTAAGATTGATTGTATAAGCAAAATACATAACCATATAAAGGGAATCCACCTTATGAAATATTTGACATTTAATTACAGATACGTAGAGCAATAGTCTCTATGTCCACTAACCATCTTTTCATCACAATGTTTCATCTTTTACAATAGCCTTTCCCAGCTTGATAACCTCCAGATTCATTCAACAAATGTCTTCCAGAATCTCATAAATATTTTGACTGCATATGAAGAGAACTGTAGTCCAACTCACCTGGAGGGCACTAGATTGGGGAAAGGTCCTCTAGCTTTGTAATAATTGCATTTGGGGGCATAAAGGGAGTACAGCTTGAGTTTTAATAGCCTTAGTGTCCAAAACTCTGTCCACAGAATTCATTTAACCAAATAATTCCTGCTCACCCTCAGTTCCACTCTTAGGTTCTCCAATTTCCTGCTTATTCATTCCACTTTTATGTAAAATGAGCAAGAGTATGTTCTTTACTTACCTGCCTGCTCTGGAGAGTCCTTTTACCAATACACAAATTTGAGTCTCAAGGTTCAATCTTCCCAAGAGCAACTGACCCTTGAAAATCCTTCCTCCACAGTAGCCAGAAAAGAACATCAGATCCTTCTAAGTACTTCCTCACAGAACTGGTGAATAAAGCAACAGGAAATTGCTTACACAGTTTAGCAAGTGGATATCTCCACTGTTCTAGTGCCTGTGTAAAATAACCTTTGCAGGGTGGATCCTTGAGAGTTACACCTCTCTGAATTTCCTAGGTAGCCATGCAACTACCAGGTTGGGAAGACTGCTGTAGAATTGGGGAAAGACAGAAAGGCAAGGGCAAGGGCAAGGCAAGGCAAGGCAAGGCAAACTATTGGAATGAATGAAACATCGGATATTACACTATGCTGCAAAATGTGATGACCATTTTGCTCAAGGATTACAGAATGTAAACAATATGCTTTGTGTCTTTTATATGCTCTTATTCAAACTGGCACCTCTGAGCCTCAATGATTCACTGATATCTCTAGGTGGAGTATGAGAAAAGGAGAGGTGTGATTTGGCAACAAACAACAATATAAACTTGGAACTGTGGAAGAAGATCATACAAAGAAACAGAAGGGCTTTTAGATGAGCCTCTTATTTTGCAACTTTCCTGACTTATTCATAGAGAAATTTACAATGCATTAATGCTGTCTTCTGTTTGTATCTCCCCTGTGCTCTTAGCACTGTTTTTTATTTTTAACACATGTACCCACCCTATCCAGTTAGACAGAAAGCATAGAATTGGGCAATTGTGCTTTTACTTAATAACATTATAAGAAATTCATTTAGAATTACAGTAGAAGATCACCAGAACAGGGTGTAGGAAGTCAGCACCCCCCCCCCCGAGAAGGAAATATTTTGGGAGATATTAAAAGAGGCAGAATATTATACTTCCCCAAAGGAATAATAGAGAAATCTTAGGCAGAAGCCAGCCCCAGTCTCCCCCAAGTAGAAATTCAGCAGGCCAGTTCTATAGAAATGCAGATTTGATAATCCCATTCAAAAAGACTGGGCCACCTATTCATAAGCAAAATGCCTTCAGCCACAATCCCAGAGAAAGTTCAAGCTGATAGGATTAGAAAAACAAAGACTCCCAAGGACAGGAACAGGAAGAACCTCAAATACAAAGCCACAGGAACAGGAAGAAACTCAAATACAAAGCCCAAAGAAGGTATAAAGGCCCATCTATCCCAACTCCATTGTGTCAGCTTTCCCAGAAATACATGCTGTTGATTCTGTTCTTCAATAAACAGAATCTTCTTTCCTAAGCTGTCTCCATTTTGTTTATTCCCAGCTTGAACTGGATCTGAAGATTTTTCTTTCAACAAGGGAAATTAGCACTCTAATGAAATAAGCAGTAATAATTAAATGAACAGCATTAAAGGCAGCAATATTAAGATAGAATAAAGATGTAAAGAAAGAGATGGGGGAAATGCAGTTTTCCTATCCCTGACTCATAAGATACATGTGATTCTTTGGGAAAAGGGTGGTTACAGCACATACATAATCCTCTTGGAAGTATTTGTTTATAGACTATGTATGTAAAGTCATGTAAGTATAATCAGCCCCAAAACGGCTTTGAATGCTCCTGGAGATGCTCATTTGGGAAGAAACTCATGTGTGATCAATCACTGAGATGAAATCTATATGTCTGTGGCAGTATACCTCTGATTAATAGATACTGAGAACAGGGGACAGGAAAATATTTCTTCAATCAAATATTTCTTATCAAGAGCATTTGAGTGACATGAATGCTGGAACAGAAGATCACTCATCAACTTGTCTTGAGAAGATTGGATTTATTAATACTACATCACAATCACTTCAGAAGTTACTTGTCATTTCTAAAACTTATTTTTCCATGTATTTTTTAGAGCTGCAAAATCACTTTCTGACTGGTGCACAAAAATCATTTTGTGTTGTGAAATGTGGTTTTGCTTGTTCTGTGTTATGGTTTGTCTCAAGACCACACTCCAGGAGCTTGCTAAATGCTTGACCAACAAATATTCAGTAATACTATGACATTTTTTTCAGCAGTGGATGACAATTAATCACATGCATTTAACATTTATTTGATTCAAATCTCTCCCCTTTGTCTCACTCAGAACTCTTTTGTCATTCCTATTGCTTTCTTTGAATATTTGTTGGGGAATTTTAGAAAAAATGGATTGATCTCAGACTGACTCTAGCTATACCTCCTAGCATGCATTATAGCCCATAACCAACATTTGACCTTCAGCTCCAGAAATTTAGAAGAATTTTAGTGTCTGTTTAGTCTGGAAATTGAGTCGAGATATGGTTGTAGAGAGCAGGAAAAGAAATAGTATACTTACTGAAACAAAACAAACATATCTTGACTTCTGTGTTCCAGCCTACAGCTCAATAGCCACCAAGCAACCATCTAAATAGCAGCAGATGATTGTGACAGGTCAATATGTTTGGGGACTTAACAGAATCTTTTTTGTTTATTGTTTTTAAAAATCTTAATTTTTGAAACATAATTGGGGGGGGAAAAACCCACATCATTTGCATGGTTAGAGAGGCTTTCTTTTATTTAAACTTTTTAAATAGTTTAACCTTTTCTGGAACAAACACTGCATACTTTCAAGTAAGGCACTTAGCATAAGAGCAGCATTCCTTAGAATTCTGTCACTGGAGTGAATTTAAATTGTGAAACAGAAAGTGTTTAGAATATTTCCTTCCCCAGACTAGAAAATAGTTTATTCTAAAAGATCAGGAGCAGGGAAACAATTGAAGTGTATGGAATGGCAGAGAGGAATAAGTGACAAATGTTTGATTATGTATTATGCAGAACATAAGACCATTCAGTCCAGATTCCCAAGTTACCTACATTAGCTGTACCACTATCTGCTATATTGCTATAGTGTTGGCCAGAAGGCTGGCTGGATACAAGAACATGGTATGAAGAAGCTAATGTCCACACAGGATCAAGGAAAGACACAACTCTTTTATTTCTGTACAGAAGCAGAAGAGGACACTTCTGGGTTTCACACCCAGAAATCAGGCTCAGTTATTTTTATACAATTTACCACTGGAAACTAAAGTAAGAAAGTTGCCAATTGGTTACAAAGTTACTCGACAGTCACACACATGCCCAAAACAAAGTCATCCCATAATACCCTATTAATTAGTTAACCCTACCTCATTATCATATACATTGATTACCCCTCAGTATGTTTTTTTTATTATACTAATGATAAACTTTGGACTTCTACAGATCCTTGTCCAGACAGCTGTAATCATTGCTTAAGCTAAATTTCATGTCACCTTCCTTGAATCCAGGAATGGGTTCGTTTGCAAGATGCTTACCTAAGTGACAAATCTATAATCTGTATAAATCTATAATTTACATGGCAGCTCTTCATTGTTTTCATATATATGGTTTTGTAGCTGGGAGAAGTCCTTTCGAACTTTGATCTGAACCGGAGATGCTGTCCTCTCAAGTTCCATCTTTTCATGATTAATACCTGCTAGTTAGTCCATATAGCAGATATTGGCCAGCCTATGGAGTGTTTATGGTTGACCCCTCTAGTTCTTGCTGACAGGTGTTAAAAAGTGTCCCTAGCAGGCAAAAGGACAACTAATAACTGGGTCTAAAGTTAATTCATAGCTTACAAAAGCCCCTGATTACTTATTAATAAGCTAATAAAAGCTAAACAAATTTCCACTCATTATGCAGTGGGAGGCACAGGATATTTCTACTGTCTACATCAGGGATCTTCAAAGTTGGCCCTTTTATGACTTGTGGACTTCAACTCCCAGAATTCCTCAGAATTCTGGGAGTTGAAGTCCACAAGTCATAAAAGGGCCAACTTTGAAGATCCCTGGTCTACATCTTCTATGTCAACACCAGCATGGATAGCCTCATTCAGCCTAATGCTAGGCTCTGCCACTAATCAGCAAAATATAAGATTGTGGAAAACCCAATGGTTATATAAGGTCTTCTGTTTAAATTCCCCCATTTGAGCAATATGACAGAATTTAAGTAATTGCTCTGGGGTATTAATCATGAAAAGATGGAACTTGAGAGGACAGCATCTCCGGTTCAGATCAAAGTTCGAAAGGACTTCTCCCAGCTACAAAACCATATATATGAAAACAATGAAGAGCTGCCATGTAAATTCAATAAAAAGAGAATGGAAGTCAAGCAGTGCTAAAATAGTATGAAACACACTATTCAGCCACATATTTTGTTCCATATTTTGTTCTTTCTCTGAATATTGCGTTGAGGAAAATGGCTCAAAGGTATGCCGATTTACAGGTTAAATTATTTTGGATGTTTTACAAGTATTACTCATGGATTCTATGGCAGCATTCATAGAAAACATAGGACAAATTATGGAACCTGTGGTAGGCTGAGTTATTGCACTTTATCTGTGACACATTAGGATTAAAATTGTTTGTTAGAATTGATACAAATAGAGATTATAGAAAGATGTTGAAGGCCTGAGTCATTTACAAAGCACTTTCCACCAGCAGAGGGAACTATTAATTGATTTAACAGATATTCAGATATTCAGCCTGTTTGTCCTGCAGTTGCACTTGTGGCCAATTACAGCTTATTTAAAATAAAAAAACTTTCCTCCCCTTTGTTATTATGTGGTTGAGGACGGGACCATTAAATCCAAATTTCTCTTAAAACCAAATGCAAGTCATGTGATTAAAGTTAGGTCATTTGTGTAATCATTTGATATAAATGGATCCGTTTGCAGTAAAACCTCTGTTTAACAGACAAATCCTAAATGTAGTTTGATTATATGCAAAGTCTGTTCAATTGCGATCCATAAGCCAAGTTTTTATATCAATGTATGCAGAGTTCCTAATATATTGTTTACAGAGCCAATGTACTAAACCATTATATTAAAATAAGAAAAGTGATAAAAATTATGGGAAGGAAGGAAATCAAAAGACCAGTCCCATAACTTGGAGAAATGTCTTTTCAGACAAATAAACAGAGCTTTTTTAAACAACATTAATAGCATTCTCAAATCAAAGCAAAGAGTGATCTCTACAGTTTTTGATGTATCACCATGGAAGATGCCAGATTGCCCAGCCAGAGAATGTATTCAGTCGCCTTTTCTTCTGGCAGGGAAGTTTATTACAAGGTAGTTGAAGTGTTACCAGAGGAAGTTGAAAAGCTGGATCCCTTCCTATATCGAATCAGGATCTCTTT